ATATATATATACAATATATATATATATAATATATATTATAATATATATATATATATATTATGTATATATATAATAAATATACAAAATTGGTGTAAATTTAAATACCAGTTCGAAATCTTGAAGTACGTGCTTGAACTGGAAAACGTGATATTTTCTCTATTCCTTTTACCTTGATTGTAATATGGAGAAGTACATTGTATATATAATCAAAAAGAGAAAGGTACAACTGAGATTCAAACATAGTGGTGAACAAGCTCTTACAATTACGTCAACACATAGCTCCTATCAATTTGTCGCGACTCACTCGGTCAAATGACGGTATTTTATAAAGTCCCATGATCCTTCACCGTATTGTGACAGTTAACTGCACAATAAAAATGTATCATAGTTTTTTTCAAAGAAAAGTTGATAATTATCCGTATATTTCGCATGTATCTAGTCTCTACCTCCATCAAATATGGCATCACATTACCCTAACTAGAAGTATGACGTCATTAGTATAAGGTTTATACGCAATCGTCACTCGTTTCTTACTTGATAGTCTACGCTCAACAGTGTGGAAGATAAACATTCAACGCATGCGCAATGCGACAGATTGAAGAGATTCTGAGATGAACGCACTGTTATGACTTCAGCTTACAGTTTTTCAATACACAGGCCAGAAACTTCAATTAAAAAAATGAATATCGAAAAAAAATAGAGAAAGAGAGAGAGAGAGAGAAGAAAGATGTGAAAAATTACAAATGTTAATCAAAGCAACCTTTTGATTATAAATACATATAAGGCTGCACGGAATGCTGTCTCACCTGTGGTGGTAATTTACTAAAGCTGCGAAGATAAGCAGTCGGAGCAACAAATTTCATTAAGAAGCCAACCTGCCGAGTAGACTCTATTATCTAACACTAGGTTCTTCAAGACACCAGGGGTATGTTTGTGCTTGTCTGTTTAACAAAAAAAGAGAAAAAGAAGAACTGTATCGAAATCGGGGCACGTTTGTATGTTCGACCAATAAGAATCTTGTATTTGTAAGGGCGCCTTTCCGTTATAAACCCTTGTTTACTAGTTTTAGTCAACGAAAAGCCCTCGGGGCAAGGGGAATAGCACAAGGAATACCTTGGAGGTCATATAACGTGATGTTATTGCCATCTAGTTCTTTTATCACCAAAACTGGAAATTTCAGTGAGAAAGAAGACCAGAAGAATAAGTTAATATTATTAAATCTACATACATTTGGTCAACGGTGATGAGTAAAGGACAACTCAGATATTGTACGCGTAATGTGATGTTACGTTGGCGTTTTTTTTTTTAAAGAATCCTTTTAAAATAGAATAATAAATGAATAACATGATAGTTAGCAGGAGCAATTCAAACTATGAAACAGTTCGATTTGTGATTTTCAATCCTAAAAGTAAACAATACAGGACGTCCTTTAACGCTTACCTGATCGTTAGGGCGCTCGTCTTGCGGGATGACAACCCGTCACCGAACGTGCTCGCCCTTTCAGCCGTGGGGGTCTTATAATTTGACAGTCAGTCCCACTAATTGTTGGTCAAAAGCAGTCCAAGAGTTGGCGGTTGATGGCGTTGACTAGCTGTCTCTCCTCTAGACTATCACTTAAAAATTAGGGACGGTTAGCACAGATAGCCCTCGAATAGCTTTGCGCGGACAAGAAATTGATATGCTGAACGTTGAAGTTAATCACTTAAAATATTCATTGAGGGGGAGGGGATTTAACGTAAAATAAGGGATCATGCAACAATCCACGAATAAAACTACAGAAAAGTTAATATAAAAGAAACTTTCGTCACCTACTATCAATATGGCTAGTTATCTTGTAAAAAACACAAAATAGGAGCAAACGATCAATAAACTTTGGAAGGATGTACATATGTACAGAGCGGCCGGTAGACAGACAGCAGGATAGATAAACAAATATTTTTAGTCAGCATTTGTTTATATGTTACATCGGGTGGTCTGACTAAGAGGTAACTTTGGTCAGAAGTGCTACGAAACACCCTAGTTAGATGTATAAAGATTATATCACAGCCTAGCATCAACCTGATGAACATGCAAGTAATATTTGTTATGGCTGAACTGATGTGATACAGGTTACATTAAAAGTTGTATATTATCGTTCCCATAGCTGAGCTGGACAAAATGTTTGCGGCGACAGGAGCTGCTGGCTAGTTCCGAACTACGTTTAGTCATTCCAAATCAGGGACAACTCCACCTGAACTCTTGGGTTTTTGACCTGGATGTTTGGCCTACGTGCGCACAAACTGCCCTTCAGGTCTAAACTTTCCAGCTGAAATTCTCAGATGAACTGAAAGAACTTAGATTACATTTAAGGCTAATATTTAGGTTTTCAAGATGAGTGTATCTGGTAATTGGTGGTAGGTGTGATATCGTATAACTATAAGACTGGTAATAATTTTAATAACACTGTTTTTTATTAGCCCAATACGGGTTTCAAGTAAGAAGTGTGACTCGTAACATTTCAACCATACCTTGCTTTTGTTCTGTTTATAAGAGACTTCTCTTTTATATTCGATTTGTTGAATGGTGGATAAATAAAAATCAAGTTATTAAAAGCTAAGTGCTTCGAATGGTACACTTTGTAACTTATACACTGAACGGAAGTGCTGAATTGTCATATATCTATACACTGAACGGAAGTGCTGAATTGGTACATAAGGTATATATACACTGAACGGAAGTGTTGAACTGGTACACAAGGTATATATACACTGAACGGAAGTGCTGAATTGGTACATAAGGTATATATACAATAAAAAGAAGTGTTGAACTGGTACATAAGATATATATACACTAAAAGGAAGTGTTGAACTGGTATACAAGGTGCATATACAATAAAGGAAGTGATGAACTGGTATACAAGGTATATATACAATAAAGAAAGTGTTGAACTGGTACATAAGGTACATATACACTAAAAGGAAGAGTTGAACTGGTACACAAGGTATATATACACTAAAAGGAAGTGTTGAACTGGTACACAAGGTATATATACACTAAAAGGAAGT